TGAATATAGATGTAAGTAGCTTAAAAAAATACTTGTTAATTGAATTCTAGCACATATCAAAAAGATCATCCACCATGAGCAATTTAGCTTCATCCCAGAGATACACAGGTGGCTCAACATAAATAAACTGATAAATGTAATTCACCTAAAAATATAGTGAAAGAGAAAAATACATGATCATCACATTAAATGAAGTAAAGGACATTGACAAAATTCCAAGGCTCCTTCATGATACAAGCCCTAGAGATATTAGGGGTTCAAGGTACATATCTCAAAATAACTAAGGCAGTTTACAGTAACATTATATTCAACTGTAACTTAAATGGAAAAACTAAAATAATTCCATAAAAATAAAGACAAGATTGTCCAGTTTGCTACAGTACTTGAAATCTTAGCAAGAACAGTGAGACATCTGCAGAAATTCAATGGAATACATACTTAAAAGGAGGAAATCAAGGTATCCTTTTTTTGAAGATAAGATAGAATACAATAATGATTCAAAATGTATGAAGTGGAAACCCCTACAATGGATAAATGTTTTCATCAGAATAGTTGGATTAAAATTAACACAAAAGAATCAACAGCTCTTCTATATAAAAATGACAAATGTTTTGTGATATTATATATATATATATATATGAATATGACACAAGAAACAAACAAAGAACGTGAAATATTTGTATGGCAAAAACTTCAAGTATATAAAGAAAGAAGCATAAAAAAGTATCAGAAAGTAGAAAATCTGATATGCTTATGATATGATAGGATTAATTTCATTTAAATGGCCATCTTACCAAAAAAATTATACAGATTAATTGTAATCCACATAAAAATTCCACATTATTCACTGATCTTGAAAGAACAATTCTCAGCATCATATGGAATCACAAAAATTCTGAATAGATAAAATATAAATAATAAAGGAACTGCTGGCGTTATCATCATGCCTTAATCTCAAAAATGGACTAAAAAAAAACTATAGAAATTAAAACTTGCTAAGTTTGTATATAACTGATGGAAAAAACAAATGAAGATCTAGATATAAATATATACAGTTAGGGACGCGTGATTTTTATAAAGATGCCAGAAATACATGCTAGAAAATAGACAACAGCTTCAACAAATGGTGCCAGTAAAACTGGGTGGCTGATGTAGAAGAATCCAAAAATTTATTACTCTTTTTGGGCTTTATGAGTCAAAGACAATCAATCTAGAATCCATGGATGTAGGAAGGATAAGTATAGAATAAGGGATTAGGAAGGACAGATACACTTTCCTAGTAAATCGAAATAGAAAAGATAGATGTGCGTGAATGGAGGTGAGCAAGAATGGGAAGACCAATGGTAATGGGGATCAGAGTGTGGGATTGGGAAGGGAGTACAGAGACAACTATATTGAAGTCATTTGAATGTTATATAGAAATCTACTAAAATAAGTACTTCCTAAATATATACATACATGAAAGTGACCTTAGCATACCAACTAATGGGAGGGACAGAGCCCCCAACTTGAGATATATATATATATATATATATATATATATATATATATATGTGTGTGTGTGTGTGTGTGTGTGTGTATACACATATATATATGTGTGTGTGTATAAACATATATATATATATAATTTAAAAATAAAGAACAAGAAAAATTAAACATAAGAAATAAAGAAGTACAAATTCAGAGAATTCACAAAAGAGGAAACTCAAGTGGCAGAGAAACTCTTAAACGTTGTGTTCAACATTCTATGTATTCAGTAAGAATAGGCAAGATCAATAAAATAAGTGACAGCCCACACCAGTTTTAATGTGCACTAAAGGAAAAAAAGTATCCATTGTAGGTTGGATTGCAATCTTACAGCCACTAGAGAAATCACTTTAGTAGTTCAGTTCCTCACAAAGTTGGGAATTGGTCTAACTTGAGATCTAGCTATAACACTTTTGAGATTATTTCCAAAGTGTGCTTCATTCTACCACAGTGAAATCGGCTCACCCAATCTCATTGTTGCTCTATTCATAATAAGCAGAAATTGAAAATAATCTAGATGGCTCTCAACAAATACTTGGATAAACAAAATGTAGTACATTATACAATGTACTATTACTCATCCATTTAAATAAAAACATTATAAAATTTACTGGTACATCATTTCAGTAGGTAGCCCAGATACAATAGATAAATATGGTATGTATAGGCTTATATGCAGATATTAGCTTTTGAGTCAATGACAAGCAAGCTAGAATCTACATACATAGAGAGGCCAAATCCAAAATAAGGGAGTAGAAAGGCCAGAGATATTTTCCTAGGAAATTCATAGAGAATAGAAAGTTAAAAATGAATGGAGAAAGGGTTGGAATGGGATTATCAAAAGGCAAGAAGGGTCAGAATATGGGAATAGGAAGGGCATACACAGAAAAACATTTAAACTTGAGGCCGCTTGAGTGCTATATGGAAATCTAATAAAATAGTAGCTTCCTAACATAGACAAATCCATGAAGGTGATCTAAATGAAATCAGCATATAAGAGAGAAAGAGCCCCAAATGGATATAATTTGTTCGCTAATGATGCTTCCAGTCGCAGAATTAGGTTACATTTAATTGAAGCATTAAACAATGAGGTCCCACAGCAAACCCAAAACAACCCAGTCTGTCATCAAGTGTTGTTCTTCACATACTGATAGCAAAGTCCCGTGGCTGAAAACAACACCTATACAACTCATTGAAAATGGAGATGCAAAGCTGGTGTCTACATGGAACATTCACTCTGATATGCTAGAATCTTCAGTAAAGGAAAGTATTCTACACACCATCAAAGGGGAAACAACAACTCAGCCTCAACCTCTTTAAACTACACTGTTATTCTGCCTATACTGAATGCTAGTTAAATGGTAGAACAGATGATGTTGTAGTCACCCACCAATATCCAATTTGACTGAGGCATACTCCACTAGATAGAAACCATACTCAACACTGCTTGCATGACCAAGAACCTTAGGCTACATAGCCCAAGGACCCAGGGTTGAGCCAAATACAACTCTTCCAAAATCTGTAGTAATAAAAACATTCTGAATGGCAATCTGCTATACTTGAAGTTCAATGCCTTTCTCAGCCATTATCAGAGAAACTTTCTCCTGCAGCAGTTTGTAACTCATACATACTCTCAAAGCAAGACATTAGCAGAGAGTGAGAAACATTGAAACACTTGGTCCTAAATGTATTGACTATATCAATTGCCTCCTCTCAGAATGTATAAAAGCTAGAGAGGATGAAGGACACTAAAAAAATCAAGAACCTATATTTCAACTTAATTGATGAACATGTGTACTCACTGACACAGCATGCATAGGTTTTTCATGAGTCTCCACCGAATGGGGACCTAGAGCTGAAAGAAGATATAGACTCATTCCCCCATTCCTAAGTCAAATGCAATCTTTAATTGATTAACTATTTCTAAGGTTATATCTCTGAGCAAACTAACTACTTTTAAGGTTTGGCTGCATGCACAGCTGTAAATGGCAAGCAGAAACCAAACTCCATGTCATCCTTGGAAATTTCTTGTCTCACAATGTCATGTCAGGACTTTACAGTTTTTTAGTTTATCATTTTCATTTTGTCTTTTATATTTTTTATTTTTCCATATATTTATGGTACATTTCCTTTGTATATATAAGATTTGTATTTATAAGATTCTGTGTTACACCAACAGATCTTCTGATTTATGTCCCTTCTGTTGAGCTTTTTTTTTTCTTCATTTTCTACATATTATTTAATTTCTATGTGTTGGTTTCAGTTTAAATTTATTAAGTTACATTTTCTTATATTATAATTCCTTAAAGACTGTGTTTTTTTCTAATGAGAAACAGAAACAAGAAAGACCTGGTTACAATATAGGGGAAAAATTAGATGAGTAGATGATCGGTAACAATATTTGGATATATTTTGTGAGAAAAGGAGTTATTTTCCAGAAAAATAAAAATACCTGAAAGCCTCCCCAGCACCCTGCCTCTCTGCTGACTCCCCATGGGAGACCTCGATTTTGGGAATGTGGGGTTGCACAGTGGCTTGGAAAGAGGCTGGGGGTGGGAGGAGGGAGGAGGGGGGCTTGTGGATAGTATGTGGAGTGAGTAGAAAATTTCTTAATAAAGCAAGATGAAAAAAAACAACTCACCAAACAAATAAGGAAAAGAAAAGAAACAAAAATCTGTACTATTTTATTCGCATAGAAGTCATTGAAAATAAGGAGTAAATTAGAGGTAGTAGGCTATTCAAAGAATAAATAATGTGAATAACCCATATTGTAGATATAGAAGTATATGATCATGAGATATCAATTAATTGGAACTGAGGCTCAGCCAATGAATAGAATTATAAAAAAGCTGTTTACCTTTTGCACTGATATTGAGATATTGAAACTTATGGTTTTAGGATGATTATTCTCATCTCAGCAACTGTGGGAGATTTTGTGTTGCCTGTGGCCACTGTGTGTATGTGCGTGTGTGTGTGTGTGTGTGTGTGTGTGTGTGTGTGTTAAATTGCATGTTCTCTGGCTGTCAGGACACCGAATAGGTAATAAAGCATATATCATAAACATGTATAGATGTAAAATTTGTTTGTCAATAGTTAACTCTGTCTAGAATTGGTTCCCTAAAATACTTGATTTGGAATTTCTAATGCAATATGTATCAAATATTTCACATATTGATAAGAAAATACATCATGTGGATTAGGGTAGTTACATAGATATCTCAGGAGGAATCGAGCCTGGGGCCTTCATGTCTACTGATGTGGATGGAATCACAGGAATGTAGAAATGAAGATAATTACTAAACACAATTACTGAAATTTTCTTGCACCTGAGCTTAATAACTCAGATGCAGACCTCGAAGCTGAGTATGTTTAAGAGTTCTCCAAAGAATAATAAACTGAGAAGAAATATATTAGGAAACAACTACACTTCTAACTATACTTCTAACTACACTTCTAACTACTAGAGCAGAAAAAGAGACACATATGTGTACAGGCACATCTGAAACGTGGTTTTCTGTGAATCTCTGCTTATTATACTTTGCCTTGGCTCCTATCTTGGTGACATTAGAAAGATGTTCTATTTGACATTTTTCTTCTTGGTCGTTAGGCTTACCTTCCTTTTCTGCAGTTTGATGGATCCCAGGTGCTTTCTGAGATTCAAACATCCACATACCTGGGATGAAGATAAAGACACTGATTGCTTTTTTTCTATTTACACAAAGCATGGTCACATCAAGAACGAATATTTAACCAGGAATCTAGATAAGAAGTAAGTACTTTTCATTTGTTTGTTTTTGAATGATCATCAATGTAAATACTTAGAAGGCCCAAGTTTGGTCAAAATGGCATTCTCCATGTTTTCTGTCTGTTTTGCCCTACCTTCCTATCTAGTACATGACAAAAATTTATTTTGATGCTGATTATTACTCTATTTCAGGTGATTTAATGGTTATCTGATTCATCTTTTTAGAATCAGATTTTCAGGCTAAAAGCTGAATGATATACCCTGTCTATATTTCTATTAGAGAGATTTCCATTATATTGGCAATTCCTACTGTATGTAGCCAAGTGATATTTCCAAGAATCATAATTCAAGGCACTGAGAGGAGTCCATTTCTTTGAGGCTGAGCAAATTTTTCTATAGATGTTAAGCTAGTGTTTTTCCATCTTGATGGAATGCCTAATTTGGTATTTCTTAAGTGCTTCATGGGTACATTTCTTAAAAGAATACTGCATTTTTATTCAAATGCTGTTTATGTCATCATTTCAAAATTGCTGTGCTGTATGACTCCTGTGGCTGAAATCAATCATAAAAAAATAAAGATCATTCACTGTGGTAATTTTATTCTTTGCATTAAATTTTGTTTCAGTTGAGAACATGTACAGCCAGATTTCTTTTTAATGCCAATGTCAGTAGTGTTTTTTCTTTTAAGTTCTATGTTGTTCATGTATAACAGCCATCTATACAATTTCAGGAGACAGTTTGTGTATTTGTTAAAGAGGGTATGTTGTCAAGATATGTCACTCTGGTTTAATAAAAAGCAGAAATTCCAATATGTCTAGGCAGAATTTTGGGGTATGCAGGATGCTGGAAAGAAGGAAGAGATGCGAGGAGATGCAGTGCAAGCAAGGTAGGCACTACAAAAATATGGTTATAAAGCCACAAGACAGAAAGTAAATTAACAGAAATGTGTTAAAGTTATAAGAGCTAGTTAGAAAAATGCCAAGTTAAGGCTGAGCACTTATAATTAATTTGTCTCCCTGTCATTTGTTTTTGGTGGCAGCCCAAAGAAAATCTCAACTATAGTATGTCACTGTAAATATTGACTTTATTTTAGCCTTGTCAAGAGCTAGAATGAAAGTGTTGTCTGTAGCACATGCCACAGTTTGAAAGTAATCAATTAAATAAAAATGTGGTCACTAATCTTACTATTTATTTTATTTTCATGTCTTGATTTTCTGTTCCATAACTTGAATCTATGACACGTATTCCACATTTGTTTCTCTTTTCCTTTTGCCCAATTATAAAGAGTGTGTTCATAAGTTGTGGGAATATTACAGCATTCTGTAGATTTTTAGATTTGACCATAATTTAACTGGATTGTTGATGTATACTGGATTTGATATTTGATTTGGATAATTGTAGCAATGTCTCCTGCAGCATGCTAAGCAAATTGTCACAGTTAACATTCTAAAGATAATGGTAATACCCATGTAAAAGATGGGCATTGTACTCACTGTGAGAGATACCATAATGAAGTTTTAATATGAGGCAAAAGTTCATTTATTGATAACATATGGATGAATGCAATGATAGCAGAGGGTGATGTTTGGTATCATGGAGCAGAAGAGAGAAATTTTCAAGGAAATAATGAAAAACAACATTAAAAACTAGTCTCAGTGTAAAATATAACCGCAGCTATGAAGGACAATGAGGAGTGACTTTAAGTGACATCACATATTTTTACATTGATAATGCAATTTTCATAGTGAAAGGGAGCATGAGAGTCTTGACTCAGAGCACAAAATACCAAACAAATTTAAAAATTCACTAAGAGAAAGTTTAGTAGAGCTTGAATGAGAAAATCTTTACTCAAGTTAGGCACAGTTTTGTTATGTCTCTACCAGTCACTAGAGTTCTTGAAGTTGGAGAAAAACTGTCTTTGGAGAAGTAGAGATGAGAGAACTTGCAATTTCCCATTTATTTTTTCTTAAATTTCATCAGTTTATGACTAAACACTCCTCAGTGATGTGATCTCTTTAGATAAGATTACTGGAATGTTTGTTAAGGCAAGAAAAGGATTATGTAGGCATAAAACAACAGAAATAAAAAAGTTGCTAGATGGTACAGATCATATCCATGATTTTCTGCATGTAAATAAACATTCAATTAAAAAAGGCATTGAATTATCTGATACTCTTGGAAGTATATATTTATTACATAAAATATCATAGAAGAATGTGTCTTCACATGTCTTATGTCTGTTCATACGTTGTGCTAACACAGCATATAGTTATTATCATTTTTTACTAGTAGTGGGATGGGTCTATCATGAAAAAGAATATAATAGTTGATGAAGAACATGATGTTGTAGAAATAAAAAATTTGAGAAAAGGTACCTACATGTTCCTTTGTCATGTTGAATTGAGTTCTAATTTTATAGTGAAGGGAATAAACTATGCCTTTCTAAAACACAAGTATAATACAGGTAATTTATGTTTTATATATATATATATATATATATATATATATACATATATACAAAACCATATATATTAATAAATATTTCAAATGTTTATCTCGTTTAAAATTTTTTGTGTTGTGAATAGGAATTCTACCTAGATAATTATTAGTAATATTTTTATTATATTTTATATTGTTCTCAGAGAACACTGTATCTTACACACTTAATTTAAAACATTTTCACCCATTGTGGTTCATAAGCATCTTCCAAATCTTAGCTTTTATAATTTGCTAAATCATCTTCGAAATTAGTGTGTTTATCCCTGAATTTTATAATCTAAACCTGCATGAAACACTCTACAATACTCTCTCTGTTTTATTTTGCATCTTTCGTTTCAAAGACAGCTTACAAATTGGGTAAATATCATTTGAATTTGATTTGTATTGGATCCAAGAAGAAATGTTCATGTGATTATTATATATAGCAAACATGTTTGACTGTTTCATATGTCAATATGTGACAACCCTAGTCATTGCTTCTTTCCATGGGCCTTGTAGAACAATAGTAATTGATATTGTGACAAATTATAGTGTTAAAATAAAATGTTTGATATGAGTTCATTTTAAACTTGAAGAGTTGCATCATTATACCAGACCAAAATTTGGCATCCACAGTTTTCAAACTACAATAACTAAAAATGAATATTGATTGACAAGTCTGCCTAGGTTATTTCAGAGTTGAATCACCATTTTTGTGTATAATATAATAAATCAAATTTCCCATATTACAACTCCTTTGATGACACATATAATCAGAATTTTTGTGACTAATCAGAGGCTTTTTTCAGTGTGGCTTCAGTTATTCATTAGAATTTGTGATTGGATTAATTGATGACAGAAAGGGTAGTATATTGTATATATTTCATTTCTTTTTTCTTATTTTTTATTCATTTTACATACCAACCACAGATCCCCCACTTAAATGTCCTCACATTTTCTCTCCTTCCCCCACCACCATCTTTCCTCCACTATTCTTTATCCTCTCTAATAAACACGGTAAGTTTTCCCATGGAGGGGTGCAACTAAGCCCTGTATATTCATTTGAGGCATAACCAAACCTCTCCCTGCTGTATAAAGTGTCTGGCAATAGGTAATGGGATCCAGAAATCCAGCTCATTTGCCAGGAGCCCTGATCACACTGCCAGGAGCCCTTCAAACAGACCCAGCTGCACAACTGTCTCTGATATGCATAGGGTCCAGGCTGGTTCCATGCAGGTTCCACAGCTGTCCAAATTTATGATTTCTTTGGGCTTGGTTCAGTTGTCTCTAGATTTCCTCATCATGATCTCGACACCCCTTCCTCATATAATCCCTCTTTACTCTGTTTAACTGGGCTCCTGGAGCTCAGCCTGATGCCTGGTTGTGGATCTCTCTGCATCTGCTTCTATCTATTACTGGATGAAGGCTCTCTTGGTCAAATTGAAGCTGAGAGACTGCATTTTATTTCTTTATATATTAAGAATTATTATAGATTTGTTTTGACCCATCACTAAAATTTTTGAACAATGTTTATATGTGGCACACTTGGTATGGGGATAAGATATTCTAATTGAATTGTAGAATCCTAATTCATTTTCTACTATTTTCTCTTGTTTATTCAAGAAATGATATAAATATTTTGGCCTTCACTCTCTCCAACTTAGATGCATAGTGCTGCCAAGAATATCAATTAAACTGCATTCACATAAAATTAAATCTCCAAAATTGTGAACTCCTATAAAGCTGTTATGATTTGAAACTGATTGCATTAGGTACTATTTTTATGAGTTGGTTAAATGTTGAGTATAATGTAATTTGATGATATTTGTTCCTTTCATTCACTACTCTTTTATTAAGCCACCAAGTATATTTTGTGCCTCTGATTAATTTTGCAGATGAGTCCTTCCACTAGGCAATGAATGATGCACTATGGGTCATACTCTTAAAGAAAATTGAATGTTATTTTTCAAGAATTTAAATGGCCTATATTTATCTATACTTGGATATTTTTCTGTGGTGAATGAGATTTGTGTCTAAATTATTTCTGTTATATATGTATAAAGGATTTACATAAATCCACAAATTCATGGCTTTGAATAAAGCAAGAGATACATTCAAAAACACAGTGGAATGGAACTAAATAAGAAATGTGGATTACCTCAGTAGCAATAACAAATAGAAATCCTGACATTAAAGGAATTTTTTTGGCTTATAAACAAATGGCAGCAACAAAATTTTGGTCTTGAAAAAATAGTTTTCAATTTTCACAATACCTTCTCACATTCACGCTTTGGAACAGAAGGCAATGTGGTAAATTGAAGGGGAAATAATATTCAGATATACTCCAGATTGTCCACAGATTAAAATGAAAATCCAGCACTGATGAGTAACAAGTGATTCATCATATCTGGAAATGTGGAAACATTGATGATGTTACTTGGAAAAATTATTTTATAAAATATGTAAATCACTAATTGATCAAAGATATGAGATAGAAACCTTTAATCAAAAAACAAATGAATAGTAAGAGTTCATGGAAATTCATGACTTGAATCCATAAGAAGAACAATTATAAATTCTGAAACTTTATTTGGAAAAATGGATTTTAGTAATTTTAGATATTAATATCATACAATAGTAACTTCATTGTTTGAACTAGAGAATCCAAATTTAAATCTAGAAATACCATACATAAATAAAACCCATCCAAAGTGGCAGAGTACTAAAAAAAACATTTCAGGCTTGGTTATTTCAGAATCCAACAGAAAAGTTTAAGAAATAGAAGAATAGAAAAACTTCAGAGTAAAATTATTCAAGTATTAGAACCACAAATTCTAGGGCAAATATATCATTCGTTCAATTGATTACTAGCTGTAGAGCAACAGAATAGGCTAATGCACTCAGATATGGAACATGGTCCTAAAGCAATAGATTATACACAAGAGGAAACAAAAGCTGAAACAATCAAAGGAAAACAATGAGACAAATTATTAGCAAATTTATATATTTTTTTCTTATTAAGAAATTCTCTATTCTTTTTACATACCAACCACAGATCCCCTCCTCTCCCTTCTCCTGCCCCCCACCTTTCAACCCCCATTCCCACCTCCTCCAAGGCAAGGCCTTCCATGCAGTCAGCAGAGCCTGGTATATTCAGTAGAGGCAGTTCTAAGGCCCACCCCCTAGAGCAAGGTTGTGTAAGGTCTCCAACCAGAGGCACTGGGTTCAAAACCCACATGTGGATGTGGGACAGATGTTGATCCTACAACCAGGGGCCTCCTTAAGCAGGTCAAGTTACATAACTGCCTCACCTATGCAGAGGGCCAAGTCCAGTTCCACAGAGGATTCACAGCTATTGATCCACAGTTCATGAGTTCCCACTAGTAGTCTCTGTACATTTCCCCATCATGATTTTGATGGCCCTTGCTCTAGGAATCCCTCTTTTCTCTGTCTTCAACTAGACTCTTGGAGCTCAGCCTGGTACTTGGCTGTGGATCTCTGCATCTTCTTCCATCAGTTACTAGATAAAGGCTCTATGCTGACAGTTCGGGTATTCACCAATATGATTACTGATGTAAGCCAGTTCACTCACCCTCTCCACTATTGATATTAGAGGATTTGCATGGAGATTAAAAGTTAAGATATCAGAGAAGGAGAATATTTGATAATTAGCACAAAGCAACAGGAATCTAGAAACAAGACTTGCATTTTCAGATAAACAAGTATAAATTAAATTGTTCATCATCAACCTGAGGGCCTGTATCTAGCAGTTTTCCTGTTTCTTTCATTGTTCCATAGCTGCTCAGACCCAAATAAACATACAGAGGCTTATATTAATTATCAACTGTATGGCCATGACCTATGACTCAATTTTCTTGCTAGCTAGCTTTTATAGTTAAACTCAGCCCATTTCTATTAATCTATATGTCACCATGTGTTCCATGGCTTTACGTTTGTGCCATTACATGCTGCTCTCTGAACAGCAGGATGGCTACTTTCCACTCTGCCATTCTTCTTCTGGTGTCTCTTCAATTTTCAACCTAGCTATAACCTGACTTCCCATAGGCCAAACAGCTTCATTTACCAAACAATCAGAGCAACACATATTCACAGTATACAAAAGACATCCCCCAGCAAGGGCCCATGTGAAGAGGTTATATTCTTCATATAAATGATCATTGTTATAAACAATAACATATCACTGAAGATTATAGAGCATCAAATGGAATGGAAAAAGTCAAAGGTGCACAAAGTAAAGAGAACAAGTAAAAATAAGTATGGTGTCTATATTGCTTATAAATTTAAATATTCTCAGAGATTGTGATACATATGGATATAATTTGTTACCCATTCCTTATAATCATAACTAATTTAGAGCCTTGTCAATGGTTGCTTTATTGTAACAATCTGGGTAGAAGATAATATCCACTTAGTTTCCATTTATGTTATTTACTATAATTCTACAATAGAGGAATGAATAGATAAAATGTCTTTTGGTACCATTTCTCACTGTGATCATACACAAAGGAATAAAATTGTAAAAAAGTTCAAATCAAAGTATCCCACATGAGTGATATACACCTCCTAAATATTGAAGAATCCTTTCAAAATTCCTTAAATCTCATATTCTCATAGAGCACAATAATAGGGCATGTGTCATCATAGTAACTGAAAAAACAAGCATTAAATACATAAAACTATTATTTTAATTCAATATTATCATGTTTTGAGCCCCATCTCTAATGATCTGTTTGCTCTCTTTTCAGGTTGACATATAAAAATATCCACTTGATTTTGTCTCTTTATTTTGCACTTGAAAATATCAACAAAGATCCTCACATTCTACCCAATATTTCTCTGTTAGTTAAAGTTGAATGTAACCTCTTAAATGATTGGGGAATGAATAGCTTATCCACAAAAATAGGTGAATTTCTTGCTAACTACTACTGTATAAATCAGAGAAGATATTTAATCGTACTTACAGGTCCAATATGGTTATCATCTGCTATGCTTGGACCACTGCTGTACATCACCAATAGACCAGAGGTAAGCATGGGTGAGTTAGTTTTAATGAAACAATGACTCCTTTCATCCTGATTTTCAGATACAAAGGCTGTTTAAAGAAAAAAGTATGTATGTGTGTATTTTAATGCTTAAAATTCCAAATATATATATTCAGAAAGCATTGACACATACCAGTAATTTAGCACAATTAGACCCAAGAACAAGGAGAAATTTGAAATATTTCAGTAGCAGACTTAGCTCATCTTTACTTTTTAAAATATTCTCAAGAAATTACATAAAATTTAATAATGAGATATAAATCCATATGCCCTAATATTTCCAGCTTATGATGAGCATAATTAGTTTTAGACTAATCATTATGTATTCCACCTTCTTCAATTAATTGTCTGTTGTATGACATTCAGCTTTACTACGGACCATTTCATCCTCTCCTGAGCAACCATGAACAGTTTCCACATCTCTACCAGATGGCGCCTAAGGACACATCTCTGCCTTTGTCCATGGTGTCTTTGGTGGTATATTTCAGATGGAACTGGGTTGGAGCAATCATTTCAGATGATGACCTAGGACTTGAATTTCTCTCAGAATTGAGAAGAGAGATGCAAAGAAACAGTGTGTGCTTAGCCTTTGTGCATATTATTATGGAAGATAAAATATTATTCCAGAAAAATGTAAATATTTATTATAATGAGATCATAGCCTCATCAGCCAAAGTTGTTATCATTTATGGAGACAAAGACTCTCATCTGCAACTTAACCTTAGATTCTACAGACTAGCATACCTTCAGAGGATCTGGGTCACTACTTCACAGTGGGATATGATCGTACATAATGAGAGACTCCTTCTTGATTCCTTCTATGGGACTTTTATATTTTTACTTCACTCTTCAGAATTATCTGGTTTTAAAAAATTTATTGAGACAGTAGATCCTTCCAAGTATAGTAAATCAATTTCTCTTGCTGAATTATGGTGGATTTATTTTAATTGTTCTCTGACTTCATTTAATTCTATGAACCTTAAGAATTGCTCAATAGAAAAACGAATGCAGTGGTTATTCCAGCACCATTTTGAAACATCTGTTAGTGGTACAGGTTATGTTGTATATAATACTGTGCATGCTGTGGCCCATGCACTCCATAAGATGCTGCTACAAGAAGTAGATACATTGTCAAAGTATTCTGGGGACAAACTGGAGTTTGACTCTTGGCAGGTAATATGTATTCTAATGAATGTAATGTAGTGTTGTAAATATAATTTCATAATGGGAGATAATGGTTCTACCTAAGAATTTCAGGATCATTTCTATCATATACAACAATTTGTGTATTCTTAGATAGAGTATAATGGGAAATTAATTGTTTATAGGCATTAATCCAGCCAACACTGACACTCAGATAGATATTTCTGATCTATACCAAGAATGTTTCCCATAATACTTCTTTTAGATGTGCATGTTTTTAATATTTGAAATAAAAATGTATTTCTTTCTCATGAAAACTTGAAAGCCAACAAGGAGCTGAATGTCCTTGTATGTGATTAAAATGTTGGTCAGCAATTAAGTAGATCCTAAATAACAGTAAGAAATTCTTCCACATTTGTATTGTCATAATAAAAACCTCAGTTCCTAAGCTAATTATCAGGTATCACTTAGAAGAAACATTATGGGTAATATCTATCTACTCTCCAGGAATATCATTCATGGGGGCATGTGTTAGATAATTAACATCAATGACAAGCTACTATTTCTAAATCATAATGCTGTTGTTATTCTTATGTTGGTTTTTCCATCTACTATATGAGTACTTGGTATTAAGTCACATTTCTAGACATATTAATGAAAATTAGAGGTAATATACACTTCAAATTATTTGTTCTAATGTGTAGGCATACTAGAACCTAAAATAATAAATGTTTCAGATGGTCCATTTCCTGAAGAACATACAATTTATAAACCCTGTTGGAGACCAAGCAAACATGAATCAGAAAGAAAATGAGTATGTGGAGTATGACATTCAATACAGCATTGAGTTTTTGCCTAATCTTGGACTTAAGATGAAAATAGGAAAGTTTTGCAAACATTTGCCACATGGTCAACAATTGTATATGTCTGAAGAGATGATAAAGTGGAACATAGACCTTAGGCAGGTTTGTTGGACTTACGTGTACAACTCTACAAGCAACATAAGTAACCAAAATCTCAAAGTTGCCTTCAGCACCCTCCTGAAATAGAGTATTTTCAAATATATTCACATACTTATTTCTCACATTTCCAGATTTTTCTTTCAGTATATATTTTATTTCAGTAATATGAATATTCAAAATTTGTGAGGGGTCCACTTTTACTCCTGGCTTCTTTGCCACAAGGTTGAGAAGGCAAAGTTAGTAGCTCTGACAGAACTTTGCACATGGCCCTTGAGCACGAAGACAGGCAGCTCTTCAGGATGAATCAGCTCAACTTAAATCCGAGTATAGGGAATATATAATATTGGGGGGCCTGGGGACAAACAATAATTTACGTTAAGAGGTACATTGTGATCACAAGGCTTATTCTGTGGCAGTAGGGTCCTAGCAAAAATCTAGAAGGAATTTGTGACAAAGTTCAAGCCAAAGATGAATCAACATCTGTTTTAAAGACAGGTTTCTGGTTTAGAGACAGCTTTGTAGTCCTACAGCCTCAGGTACATTCTCCAAATAGGGACAGGTAGGGGCAAGAAATTCTTCTAGAAGAAGGGAGCCCCATATTATGGAGCTATTGTGATAAGCTGCCAGGCCATGAAAGCCTTTGATATTTACCAGACAGCAATGTCTTCCAACATCATAGCTACATATTTAGATGTCTATGTATCTATTTATATGATAGGTAGATAAATATAAATACACTCATATACATATAAGTTTATCATTATATAAATGATAATACATCAATAATATATAATCACAATTTGAAATAAATGTTACTTTTTAATTTATTTACATATTGGTAAAAGGGTGTTTTTTAATAGTACTGTGTTCTAAATTTCTATCACTATTCCCAAGTAGATCAGACTTTTTTATTATATTCCATTTGTTATTTTCCTCAGATTCCAGCCTCAATATGCAGTGTGCCTTGCAGTCCAGGATTCAGAAAATCCCCTCAGCAGGGAAAGGCTGTGTGCTGTTTTGATTGTATCCCTTGCCCAGAAAATGAGATTTCCAATATGTCAGGTAAATGTACAACATACTAACAGATTCATTAGATTAGTTAATTTCTGTTGTCTCAATGACACCTACTGGGAATTGAAGAAATAAATTTTATCATGTAATCAAATAAGCAGCAATTCTGCCTTGAGCATCACAACCTGTGTCCTGAGATTAGAAAAATAAATTATAAAAGTTTTTGTCCAATTGTTTGGATAACATCACATATTAATTTATGAGAGAACAAAAGTAATTCATATAGGATTTAGAGTCTTGAATGGAAAGACTCATAATAAGAATAATATTATTACTTTCAAGTTTGCTTTGTTGATCCATTCAATTGAATGTAAAGAAGAATATGATGTTAGAAACTCCATGATATAGGTGGAAGAGAGCTCTTCCTTCTATCCCTTATTGTGTGCCTAATCTATGTCCTTAGGGGCCAAGCCTAGTCCTACCTCATCTTGATATGCCAGGATTCCTTAGTACCCATGGAAGTCATGAACCTTTCTGAAAATAAACAGAGGAGACATGGATTGTGGGGGGAGAGGGGAGCTGTGCGAGGAAAGGGGAATACAGAAAGGAAAGGAAACTGTGGTCTGGAAGCAAAATAAATGAATAAAATTGTTTAATGTAAAAATATGGAAAGTATTTCCATGATGTTTTCTCAATAAATATTTTTTATTGATGGTCCAATCTTATAGAAATTAGTAAAATGGTAGATTCTGTTTATTAGCAAATACATAAAACTTACTAATAAATGTGATACCCTTATCATGTAGAGATTTTAAGTGGTAAATAGTTCATGAATCTTCTCCTTTCCCAAACATTATACATATGGCCTTTTAAGCAATATATGGGGTTGTTTGTGTTTCATTACAAAAGAAGGTAAAAATGGTCATTGATATGTAGTGATTGCCTTGCAGTATATATATATATATATATATATATATATATATATATATATTGCCTTGTAGTACAGACAAAAATATATGTAGAAAAACCTGATTTTATGATTTTGTACTTTATAATCTACTGAATTGCTAAGAATGAATATGTGTTTCTATTGTACTCAATAAGGTGTTTCATTGTATAAACAATATTCAGTCACGTGCTAATTAATTCTGGCAAACAAGTAAAGTGTCTTGACTGTAAGTGATTAACATAAACGACAGATTTTCAAAATTGTGCCTTAAAAATTATATATTATTACTAATAATTCTTAAATAAAAATGTTAACTTTCTGTCTACCTCAAAAAAATAAGTCTAATTTCAGAAGAATTTTTAAAGCATTAATATATGTAATATGTCCTATAAAATTCTAAGAAATATTAAACCTGATAATATATTTATTCTTATACCAGACATGGATCAGTGTGTGAAGTGCCCTGATGATCACTATGCTAACCCTGAAGGAAATCATTGTCTCAAAAAAGTGGTGGCATTCCTGGGTTATGAAGACCTCTTGGGAATGTCTCTAGCCTGCTTGGCTCTGTGTTTTTCTATTCTCACAGCTTTTGTACTGGGTGTCTTTTTGAAACACAAGGACACTCCCACAGTCAAGGCCAACAACCGAGCTCTGAGTTATATTCTACTCATCTCCCTCATCTTTTGCTTTCTCTGTTCCTTGCTCTTCATCGGCCAACCCAATATGGCCACATGCTTCATGCAGCAGACCATATTTGCAGTAACGTTCACTGTGGCTGCTTCTACTGTCTTGGCCAAGACAATTACAGTAGTACTGGCCTTCAAGGTTACTACTCCAGGTAGAAGGATGAGGTGGCTCCTGGTGTCAGGGGCACCTAACTTCATCATTCCAATTTGCACTGTGATTCAACTGATTCTATGTGGGATCTGGCTGGGAACTTCCCCACCATTTGTTGATGTTGACATACAAGTTGAAAGAGAACACATTTTGATTGTCTGTAACAAAGGGTCAATTATTGCCTTCTATTGTGTTTTGGGATACTTGGGCTCCATTGCCATGGGAAGTTTCACTGTAGCTTTCTTGGCCAGAAATCTGCCTGACACATTCAATGAAGCTAAGTACCTGACATTCAGCATGCTGGTGTTCTGTAGTGTCTGGGTTACCTTCCTCCCTGTCTACCATAGCACCAAGGGCAAATCTATGGTGGCAGTAGAGGTGTTCTGTATCTTGGCCTCCAGTGCAGGGCTGCTTCTTTGCATCTTTGCCCCAAAGTGCTTCATTATTTTGTTAAGACCTGAGAGAAATTCTTTTCAAATGTTCAGGAATGTGCATTTTAAAATTGAAAAAAACTCATTAGATGTGCTTTATCATTAGAACATACTTTCCAACAAGACTACCCTGACATTTTTAGTCTCTAATTTTAGATCAAAATATGTATTTTGTATCATGAGTAAAAGTAGAAAATAAACTACAAAGCAGAGTTTTAAAATTTGGCCCACACTTCAGTTCTCATGGACCAAACATAGTGATCTAACATTATTATACCCTTAAAGCTGGTTTCCTTCTTTATAGCCATGCTTGTTGTTAAATTGGATCATAGCTATGCATTAGGCCTTATTTTATATATTAACATCTAATGTAGCTTTTCCATGCTAACTTATGCAGTAAGGTTTTGTTGCATACTAAATCCTTACAGTGGAGGGTATATAGACATGTATTTAAATGATGATTCACTTTAATTTGATATGTAATGAAGAGGAATTTACACAAAATAAATTAATTCATTTTTGGACCAAGTAATTTGTGTTTACATGACATCTATTCATCAATATTTAAGAAAAATAAAAAAATAAAAGTCTCTTAAGTTGAAATTTTGATCTCAAGAAGAGAGACAGTAACTGGACAAAGGAAATGAAGGGGCAATGTATTATTCTATTTCACTAAGAACATAATGTTAAGAAAGGAAAAATTTCTCATTTTTCTCATCCCTGTACTATGACATCCTCCACATACCGCAGATATCCATTCATATGAACACATATTTACATACACATGTACAGTTACATAGAAACACACACACACACACACTCATTGTTCTCTAACCTAGACATTCTCTTATATTTCAAAATCCTTCCTCCATAACAGCTTGAGTATTAAAGAAGAGTCAACTTGTCCTACTATTCACAATAATTACAAATGAATTTCATAAATGATGAGAAAACCGAGGTTGTATTGCATAACTTATGGCATTTTATGTGAAGATATAGAACCTTACATTATGATGTATAAACTTTTACTAGTTTTTTTTCTGGTTATTCTTTCTCTTTTATTGAATATATATACTTTTTCATGCAAAGTATCCTGATTATAATTTCCCCTCACTGTATTCCTTCTGGTTTCTCCCCACCTACCCTTACTTCCAGAACCACTACCCTTATATCTCTCATCAGAAATGAAAGTCTTCTAAGAGATAACAACCAAATATAAAAAAATAATAAGGTAAAGAAAAATTATTACATTGAAGTTTGACAAGGCAGCCTATGGGGGAGGAATCCCAAAAGCAGTCATAAGTGTCAGAGACCCATTCACTCCTACAATAAAAATAAAGAGTCCTTTGTCTACATTGTGCCCTGCCTGCAAAATATGCTAGAGCAATGATGGCAGGGAATTTTGGAAATAGCAAACCAATGTTTGGTTTGACCAAAAACTACTTTTTGCTATGGAACTCACACTCATCACTGAATGGATAGTAGCGGACCTGAGGCTAGATGGCCCTGAAACCAGAGGTAAAACCAAAAACTACTGGTCTAAAAGAAAACCAATAAAATGATTCCTGGGGATAATCTGCTATCTTCATGGATCAGTGTCTGATTCAATCACCATCATAAAGGCTTCCTCTAGCAGCAGAACGGCAAAAATACAGAGACCCGTGGCCAGACATTTTGTGGAGAGAAAGGCTAAGTTGGAGAGCTACATCAAATCCCTCCCCCAAGAGCTCAAGGGATTCCACACAAGTGGAGGCATAAAGATTCTAAGAGCCACAATGGTTGGAGGACATTAGGAGACATTTGTTCTTATAATCAAATAAGAGAAAGGTGCATATATGCTCAGGAAGTTGGAAGCAGCATGCAGAGGTTCTACACAATTCTGGACCATGTTATTTCTGTGTATATTATAGCTATTAGTTTAGGATACCCCACTCTAAATTTGAGTTATTTTTCCTTATGTTAGATACTTACTTTGAAGTTTGGGCCTGAATTCTGAAGATACTACACAGTGATTCCTATGTTTTGGCTAAAACAAAAAATGTCATTGGTTGCTTGCCTGGACACAGATGTGGTAGAGCCAATTGACTCAAGATCATGTCACATGACTTCCCAACCAAGACATACTTTACCTTCAAGCTATGAAAAAAAAAGTAAACACTTCCATGCCTAAGTAAATTTTGTCAAATAATTCATACAACAAGACTAAATACTAATTCAGGCATTGTTGAGGATTTGTCTATTGAGTAGATGGTCTTATTAATATTATTGCCCTTATTACAACTGGGATACAATGGGCATATGTTGTCTGAAAATTACCAAACACTATTTTGCATATAATTTTTGAAGGAAATTCATTAATATTTATGTAAATTATTAAAATGCAACAATGTTTCCTTCTGCCATTGTACCAAACTTTGTACATGAGATTAAGTTGCTATGATTGGATATCATTTCTTTCCAAAACTCTAAAGCTTTAAAGGCTTGCTTCTTATGGTAATCATGTTGAAATGTGCCTAAAATGGAAAGATAAAGCCTAGTGAGACAGGATCACAGGTCTCACCACTCACTGTGAAGTTCCTTCCCACAACCCACTCTCCCTATCTGTTATATTGTTGTCATCTTGATTACCTTATTGTTGAGGTTGTGTATCTGTGTCACATGACCCAAGCAAAGTATATGATAACTGAAATTTCATACTTCAACAGTTTAGCTATTAAAACTATTTTTTACCCATTCTTCAGTAGAGGGACATCTAGGGTGTCTTCAATTTCTGACTATTATGAATAAAGACGTTATGAACTTAGTTGAGCAAGTGTCCTTGTGGCATGATTGAGCATCCTTTGGTTATATGGTCAAAAGTGATGCAGTTGAGTCTTGAAATAGATCAATTTCCAGATTTCTGAAGAAACACCATATTGATTTTCAAAGGGGCTGTATGAATTTGTACTCCCACCACCAATAGAAGAGTGTACTTTTTTGTGTGTGGTTTTTTTTGAAACAGGGTTTCTCTGTGTAGTTTTGTTTTCTGCCCTGGATCTCACTCTGTAGACCAGGCTGGCCTCAAACTCACAGAGATCTCCCTGGTTCTGCCTCTCATGTACTGGGATTAAAGGCGAGCACCACAATCACCCAGTTAGAAGAGTGTTCTTGTTCCACATGCTCTCCAGCATGAGCTGCCACTTGTGTTTTAAGTCTTAGCCATTCTGCCAAGTATAAGATAAAATCTGAGTTGTTTTAATTTACATTTCCCTTTTGGCTAAGGATGTTGAGCATTTATTTAAATGTTTCCCTTCCATTTGAGATTCTTCTCTTGAGAATTCTCTATTTAGGTTTCTACCCCATTTTTCAATTGGATTATTTAGTTTTCTGATGTCTAGATTCTTGAGTTATTTATATATTTTGGAAATCATCCCTCTGTTGGATATGGTGTTAGTGAAGATCTTTTACCTTTGTGTAGGGTTGTATTTTGTCTTATTGATAGTGTCCATTGCCTTAGATAAGCTATTCCATTTACTGAGGTCCCATTTATTAAGTATTGATCTTAGTGTCTGTGCTGCTAGACTTTTATTCAGGAAGCTGTTTCCTGTGCCAATGCTTTCAAAGTTGTTTCTCAATTTCTCTTCTAATCAGGTTTGGTGTAACTGGATTTATGTTGAGGTCTTTGATCCACTTGGACATGAGTTTTGTGCAGAGTCAAAAATATGGATATATTTGATTTAATCTAAATGCTGACATCCAGTTTTTCTAGCACCATTTGTTAAAGATGTTTTCTTTGTTCCATTGTATATTTTTAGCTTCTCTGTCAAAAATCAGGTGTCCATAGGTGTGTGGTGGTATATTTACCCAATGGAATATTAATTGTCTTTTAAAAATAATGACATCAATGGCCGGATTCAAGATGGCGGAGACAAGCAGACACAGGTAGGCCTGTGGCAGCAGCCCGCGGAGGTAGACCGGTCCAGCGGCAGTGGCTGACAGGGACATTTAGGCCCAGAGGCGGTCCACAGAGGTGTACAGGCCCTGTTGCAGAGATAAGCAGAAGGAGGTGGACAGGACCAGTGGTGGCAGCCGACAGAGACATCCAGGTCTAGCGGCGGTCCACAGAGGTGGACAGACCACGCAGCGGAGACAGGCAGGCAGACGCAGGTTAGCAACTTGCGGAGGTGGAAGGGCCCAGTGGCAGCGGCCGACAGGGACATACAGGCCCAGCGGCAACCGGCAGAGACATACAGGCCCCGTGACAGTTCGCAGAGGTGGATGGGCTCCGCAGCAGTGACAAGCAGAGGGCCCAACTGCTGATCCTGCGAAACCCAACAACTTGGAGGTGTTGGTGAGA